CCACATAGGATCTCCCTACAGGACCTACACATAGGATCTCCCTGCAGGACCTCCACATAGGATCTCCATGCAGGACCTACACATAGGAGCTCCCTGCAGGAGTTCCACATAGGATCTCCCTGCAGGACCTACACATAGGAGCTTCCAGCAGGACCTACACATAGGAGCTCCCTGCAGGACCTCCACCAAGGATCTCCCTGCAGGACCTACACATAGGAGCTTCCAGCAGGACCTCCACAAAGGAGCTCCCTGCAGGACCTCCACCTAGGATCTCCCTGCAGGACCTACACATAGGAGCTTCTAGCAGGACCTCCACATAGGAGCTCCCTGCACGACCTCCACATAGGAGCTCCCTGCAGGAGCTCCAAATAGGATCTCCCTGTAGGACCTACACATAGGAGCTTCCAGCAGGACTTCCACATAGGATCTCCCTGCAGGACCTCCACATAGGAGCTCCCTGCAGGAGTTCCACATAGGATCTCCCTGCAGGACCTATATATAGGATCTCCCTGCAGGACCTACACATAGGAGCTTCCAGCAGGACCTACACATAGGATAGGCAGGACTCCCTGCAGGACCTCCAGGAGCTCCTGCAGGACCTACACATAGGAGCTCCCCTGCAGGACCTACACATAGGATCTCCCTGCAGGACCTACACATAGGATCTCCCTGCAGGACCTACACATAGGATCTCCCTGCAGGACCTACACATAGGAGCTCCCTGCAGGACCTTAGGATCTCCATAGGAGAATCTCCCTGCAGGACCTCCACATAGGGATCTCCCTGCAGGAGTTCCACATAGGGATCTCCCTGCAGGACCTACACATAGGGATCTCCCTGCAGGACCTACACATAGGAGCTCCATGCAGGAGTTCCACATAGGAGCTCCCTGCAGGAGTTCCACATAGGATGTCCCTGAAGGATCTCCCAGCAGGACCTCCACATAGGATCTCACTGCAGGACCTCCACCAAGGATCTCCCTGCAGGACGTCCACATAGGAGCTCCCTGAAGGATCTCCCAGGACCTCCACATAGGAGCTCCACACAGGATCTCCCTGCAGGAGCCACAGCATGATCTCTACTCACGTTCTTCATGAAGAAACACCCTTCAGGATCTCCACTAAGGAATAGCATACCAAACTCCTCAAAGCAATACAATAGAAATTTTTTCCCAAAAGATCAATACTGTATAATATTTTAACTGAAGCATCCATCCACTGATGACCCAGAAAGCAGCTGATGATGTCGACTGTCAAACACACCAGGCCTTGGTGAATCCTGTGTCCATATTCATCACCTGTGAATCATGTCAGTCTCCCATCTGGACAAACTGATCACATCTCACTGCAGTCCAGTTCTCATTAGCCAAGATACAATTAAAGGACAGACTTGATGTTTTCATGTCAAACTTTGGTCTACCAGGAGGATATGCTGGACTGATTTGATCTCTGAACTAACTCTTGCATTTAAACAAAACACTGAACAGGGAGCATCTCAAAACATCATTTAAACTTTGTACTTAAAATGCCCATGTATGCAGACTTGGTCTCTTTGCTATATGGCTGAAATAATGCTGATGCGAATGTAAAACGTCAACTCACTCACACAGAGGCCCAGATAAGCTGCGTATCCGGGTAAAATATGCATAGAAAATTTCCAATTATGCACTGAAAAATAATTGTTGCGTACCAATTACGCATTTAAAATGTTAGATACGCAGAAAAGTTTATAACAAATGCGTACGGAATATATTTATAAAAATTGCTTACGTAATGAAAAAGACATCGATGGCTATCAAGTTGTACTGTTAGCATAGGACTAGTGTTGTACTGTCAGTATAGGATGAGTGATTTTTTATGAAATCATTTCCATTTGGTTTTGATTAGGTATGACATAAGGCAGAACATTCCAGGCTTAGTAAGCTCACTCAAGTAAACAGTACCCACATGAGCTAAATCTTATCTGGAGCTCTGCTCACACTCACTTAAAACATGAACTGTTTGAGAAGCATTCTAGAAGTTGTAAGTAATAGGAATGACAAGTCTTTATGGAGGATCAACTTATTTGTTGTAAAATAGCGACATCTTGGTTTCGTTTCATGCTTGACAACGGTATAAGTATCTATACAGAAATGTCACTATTGTACTATCAAGAAGTTTATCTCCCATACAGATTTGTCTTTCCCACTCAAAACATGTTTCTGAAACTATAAATATTACTTGAAGACAGGATTTCTTATTTCGGTTTCCTTAATTCCTTAAATGTGATATTTTTGCAGTAAGTATAGTGTTGTGTATTGACAGTGGAATATAACGTTAGGGAAATAATTTATGACTAATCCCTAGACAAGTCTAGATCCAATAAACTAAATAGGTTCCTTCATTCTACATTAAAACAGCAGAGAATGAAAGGTTCTATTGGAAAAAAAATACAATCATTTTTGAGAAATATTTTCACTGATAAAGCATTCTACATTAATTCAGGTACAGTTTGTGTGCAGGATACATTTGTGTCTTTGGGAGGCAAACTGGGGAAAACATCATTAAATTTGATCAAAAAATTAGTTTATATTAAAATTCCTATTTTCCTACATTTTGATTTTATTCAGCGCAGTAATGTAAAAATATGCATTAACACTCCTTCCGCTTTATTGGCCCTGACTGACTGACTGACTGAGTTTGGTTTTACGCTGCTTTTAGCAATATTCCAGCAACATCACGGCGGGGGACACCAGAAATGGGCTTCACACATTGTACCCATGTGGGGATTCGAACCCGGGTCTTCGGCGTGACGAGCCAACGCTTTAACCATTAGGCTACCCCACTGCCCCTTATTGGCCCTGATGGCAGTGATATACAAGTACCAAGACAGACCCATAAGAGTAGTTATAACTAATATCATTATGAATATAATATATTAACATGAACTGGGAATTCTTAAATTACCATGTGGGAATTATGGCGGACATTTGCTGTAGACTTGGGGCTGAATATCTGCCACTGAGCAGGTCAAGAAGTGAATTGGGCGTAGTGCACTTTAACTGTTACAGTCGTGTGGTGGCACAGATGTATGACAGAGCAGGTGATATTACTTAACTTGTTGGCTTTCACATCAAAGAAATCTTATTAGTGAGGACTTCATCTATGCTGTAAAGCCTTCATTTTGGTTAATCATGTCGGAATATTTGGGTTTGTAACCATGCCAACCAGTATCCAACCATACCTCGCCTCTGTGGTCATGAGGAGACAGTGTCGGCCAGCAATAGTGAAAAGTCCGTAGTTGGATCTAGTCCTCACGTGAGGTGTTTTACTCTGTTTTATTACTTAAAGCCATAAGAGGTATTACAGACCTGTAATCTAAATTTGTGGATAACCTTGATTCGTGGATCACGGTAATTATCATGCTATCTCGTAAATTAAGACTCGTATGACGTCACTTTTGATGTACACTCAGTGCCACACCTCACTGACAAAAATGTTCCGAATCTCTGCATTACACGCAAGTACACTAAATATAATTGTCCTGCACTGAGATAAATAGCCCAAGATCACTAATGCCCCTAATACCAAATTTTATTTTTACAAAATGTCAAGTAAAAAAGATACTGTTAGCACCAACCTTTTCACATCTCATCTTCCGCTTTCCTAGGTGTCAATACTTACTGCAATGGGCTGTCGTACATAGTGATATATTGTAACCGACTACCTGATCCACGAAACAAGGTTACATCACATTTTTGGTGCACACAAAAGGGTGATGATTGCAAATGGCTTCGGTAAACAAATATTTCACCTTACAAACATTAGAGTGACTGACTGACTGAGTTTAGTTTTACGCGCTTTTAGCAATATTCCAGCAATATCACGGTGGTGGACACCAGAAATGGGCTTAACACATTGTGCCCATGTGGGGAATCGAACCCGGGTCTTCGGCGTGACGAGCCAACGCTTTAACCACTAGACTACCCTACTGCCCCACATTAGGGTGAACTAATAACTATTCTGATGACAGATACTTTCCATTGCACATACCAGGTAGCAACAATTAATCAAATGTAAGACATTCTTACATTGAAATATTAAATTATTGTGAAAGATATTATCTATTCGGAACAACAATTTACTGTTTAAACTAATTCGACTCTTACTCTTAAAAAATAAAACCTAAAATATATATCTCCTTTCATTATCTTTTTAGAGATTAAAAAATAAACTAAACAGTTTCATTCATAATGAAATCAATTTACTGACAATACCCTGACAAGAAAAACTTAAATCCTATTTTTGGTTATGAGATGCCCCCGAGGGCACCTGTCTACTAAAGTGGCCCAGGAGGTATTTGTATCACCAACTGCTAGTTTGTGGGGAGGGAGCAGGAGGGGGACCGGCCAATTATCTGCCTGGGTGTAGACAAACATTCAACTCAGCATCAGCAAGGTAGAGTGCAAACATTAACCCGCTAATAAGAAAACCATTGAAAAAGACTCTCAACTGACCTTGAAGTTTAACCCCCTACTAGAAAAAGCTCTGAATGTTACATTTCAGGGAAATGCTACAACAAAAGTATGTATTTACAATCAGCTGAAAACCGACATTTTTTATCGAAAGCCTTTTGATGGGTCCAAGTGACTGTCTAGTCAGGAAGAGAAGGATTTACCAAGATCTCCCAACATAAACCTTCCTCTTAATCGCCCAGCTACAGTTGTAAGAATTTTAAGTAGTTAGCTGAATCAAGGACGTGCCGCAGCCCTAAACACTACAGTTAGGAGTCGAGAACTACTCAGACATACCTTGAATTACAAATTCATCACAAACATTCGGCTTAGTCACAAAGTGTTCAATTATTCACATCAAAACAAATCATGAATCTAACCATTACAAATCAATCCTTTGATAATTGTAAATAATTAAACTAGTTTAATGTAATTAGCAGATAAGTAAACTTAATGTTAAATTCTTTTATTCATGGAGTTTAAAATAGACAAGTTGTGTAGAACCTACGGTGAGTGTTTGGGGTGAGTTTCCTGTAGGCAGCGTCATCCATTGACTCTCCCATCACTGGTGTTCCTAATCATAATGAATTCATCCCACCAGAAGTCAGTTGTCCTACTCATCCATTAAATCCACACATTTCCATTTCCATCACAAACGTCCTCATTTGAAGAATTCGTCTTGGCTCCTGTCTCCAAATCTTGTCAATCTACTAATTCTCATTGATCATCAGAAAACAATTATGAGTCAGAAACGTCTGTCGAATACATAACGGTGATTGCACTCTGTTAAATCCACGGTAGTGCGCAAAGTACACAAGGCAATGACAGTATGCTCATCCACTGCAGGATTCAACTCTGCCTCACTCAGTTTAAAATGTATGCACACTGCAGAGTCTCTAGCAGTGAAAGCAAGCGAGTGGAGATAAAGGTAATTTCGTATCTTGTCTCCCGAGCTGAGAGGGGGATTTCTCTCAAGCCATGACTCATCCGAGATAGGCTAAACAAGCTTCAACTCCAGTTTTTGTTTCCGCACATATTTTTAACACAATGGGTTTCACGGTTTGTTGAATAGTGATTCAAATTCAACCATCAAGGAAAGATGAAATTATTACAACATTGTGAAATATTTCTAGTTGTACTCAATGTTAATGTATTAACAGAACAAGTCCAGGTAGCTTCAGAGCTGCTTCATAAACACTGCAGGCTAGCAGTTATTCCTTAAAGGTTTCACATATCTTGAATGATGAATTTGATCCCAACATCCCAACACAAGAGTTAATGTATATCGTTGACTTATCCTCCTGCTCTCTCGACAATGTCACGTCTCAGTGGATGCATTCAAAGAGAGTACCTCCGACCCAGAAACACCAACCTTTCAATCCTGCCACTGTGATCCACATCCAGACTTGCAAACTTCACATTAAAAAGTCGAAATTTAATCGGATGCTAAAAACAACAAATGCTCCAGCCAGGCCCATCCTTTGTGAGCTCGTCTCCTCTCCACTGAATATTTGAAAATTTTAAATAGTCCTCAAATTAAGTTTGATCCCAAATCTTGTACATGCGGCTTGCAAACACTAACTGGTGGGTCTAACTAAGACCTGAGATGGGGACCTGGAACATTGAAGGCCTGATGACTCATACTAACTAATAATGCATTCACTATTGATCGATTCTGTGAGGAGCTACCGGAATCGCTTCAGTGTCGCTTCAATATCAATCGTAGGAGGCAGCAAGCATGCTAAACAGTTTCGTACAGCTGAACCAATTCTACATAGCCCAGTTTTTGAGGTAAAACAATAGGAAGCCGCAGACAGGCCGAGGGAGTGCGTGTTGTATTGTCGACCATGAAATGGTTCACCTAGACGTAGCCATACATCACTTGAATGTACCATCATGCAGTAGATCAATACATAGGAAGTTGCCACCATGCCCTGGTTCACTCCTGCTGGCAGAGTGTCTGTGTGTTTATGGAAATCACCAGAATTAGTACTTTCTCATCATAATGTTTCCTCTCAGCACAATGTGCCAAGTCAGCAGAAATTTCCTGCCTTGTGAATTGGTTACAAGGCAACAGATTTTTTCAAGATTTTGTGGCATTGTCTGAAAGAATAAGCCCACTGAGATATAATGAAGCATCGATAATCGGTAAGGTGATTTAGTTTAAAAATTCATTTCCATGGAAACAGGAAGAAAAGAATATTTCCTGCAGTAAGTTAGAGCACATGCTCTCACTATCACCTGCTATTTAGTAACAACTGAAATCACCATGAACCTAATGATGAGTGGAAGGGTGTAAGCAAGTGGAAGGTGTTGTAAGAATGTCATCACAGAATAGAATACAAAATCACAGCATTTTTAAGTAATCAAGCCAAGTATCAAACAAATATGAGAATGACCAAGTCAGCTGACTCCAGCTTCACGACAGCCTTAAAACCAGTGGTAGATAGCATGAACAACATGCATACTGGGACACAGAAAACTGAAGAGTGAGTGAGTGTTTAGTCTTATGTAGCTTTTAGCAATATTCCAGCAATATCACGTCGGGGGACACCAGAAATGGGCTTCACACATTGTACCCATGTGGGGAATTGAACCCAGCCTTTGGCATGACGAACAGACGCTTTAACCGCTAGGCTACCCCACCGCCCCACAAGTATATTAACAGGTTATGGCTGAATGCACTGCACACAAAGATGTGGCCATGATGAATGCAGTGCACAGAGAGATCACTATGACTATTCATTGCTTAACATCCCATTGATCCATTGGACATCCCATAATACATCACTCACTGGTGTGCATAATTGACAACAGTAGAGCACATACATACAACATGCTGATGAGTATATTGTTACTTTAGGTGTCCAGCTTAACTAAACCTTTAGATTTTAACCTAAACTTTTAAAAAAAATTGTATCAAATTTTAAGTTCTAAGTAGCCTGATTATAATATGTGTATTATTATGGTCATCAATTACTTATCAACCTAATTTAGGATATGGTAGAGTATATTTTACTTGACACATCTTAAAAGCTCAAATTCCATGACTATATCATTGTATTAAGTTACTTCTAAACACAATTAAACAATTTGTCCCGGATACTGGATGACATTTCCTGTCCTTGGTGCAAGACATTTGTTCGATTAATGTGATTTATGATGCATTCTAATCAGATACACATCTCGTGACATTTTAATGTTTACAGGGTGTCCATACCACACCTCCAGGACATACAGAGGAAGTAATCCCCATCTCCCAGTTCTTTGTCCCTGTCCTCACTCCACCCCTCGTGACGCCCCAGCAATCCCCACGCGGCTATCAAAGGGACTAATTATGACTGTAACTATCCATGTCGGCCAGATGGTCAGTGTAGAAGCCCACTCGGGATCTCCATCTTCATCTTAACAATGGCCGCAGAAAGCTCCCCACTTGAGGCGATCATGGCTTTTGTGTCAGTTGAAGGAGACTAAGCCACGTGATTATTCTGCAGTCACTACCCACTGTGATATAATGACATAGAGTACTCACAAAACTAATGAATTAATACCACTGTGGGCTAACATTCTTCTTTCGTGACCTTCAGAAATAGGTCAGCTTCAATCTTAGCCTTTTCCTGCCTTCTTTGTTCTTTTAAGGTTTTGTGGCAATCCCTAGGTCTTCAGCAACCCATGTTTTTCGTGAGACGTGACTATCAGGATCGGGTGGTCAGGTTCTGTCACAGGGATGATGCAAGGCACCATATCCAATTACACAGATTGATGCTTATGATGTCAATCACTGGATTGTCTGGCCCAGAATTGAATATTTCACCATCATATAGCAGGAATATGAGTGAGCATTTAATTACACAACACTCATATCACTCTAGTTTTTGCTCCAGGTCATGCTACAATGAAAAACATAAAAACCAAAAACTGTTCTTCGTTTAGTTGCATCCCTGCCGATCTGCTAGTTAATAGCAACATTGTAACAAGGTCATGGCAGACATTAAGGAGATCTTGGGGTTGGAGCTGCAGAGTTGCACTTCAGTGATGCTTCACATCTCTACAGTGTTATAAAAAAACTGGCTGATCTTAGTTTTGAACAAATGTTCCATGTATTCTTGCAGAAAGAACTGTTTAAATTAAAGTCGCAGAATAATAGATCATACACTTTTCGTTTAAAGTTTCACAAATTAGACTCGCAATAAATTAAAAAAATCCCCTAAAATTATCTATGAGGATTTTTTCCCGACAAATGAATGACTAATGATCTCTAACCTGACTTCATCCAATATGACTGGAATTATATAATGTGTTCAATTTGAAACAAATGAAACATCAAAATAATTCGTGACTGATAAAATGATGCTGGGCATGTTGAAGATCCAAGAAACATTGATTTAATGGACTTGTCTGGTAATCACAAAGATTAATGTAGAAATACTGTAGTTTGGGTTGTCATGTGGACCACACTTCCTGCCTATAAGCATTGTCTTATCAGTTTCTGCTGTCTGCCATTAACTATTAATTTCACAATTTACGAGCTTTGATATATCAATAAGTAATTATCGTGTCTAACACTCGGGGTGAAGGTTACAGCTACCTTGTTCATGACTTGACAGTGAGATGGTTCTCTGTCACATCTGCCCTCATCTAGACTGACTGACTGAGTTTGGTTTCACGCAGCATTTAGCACTATTCCAGCAACATCACGGCAGGGGACACCAGAAATGGGCTTCACACATTGTACCATGTGGGGATTCGAACCCGGGTCTACGGTGACGAGCCAATGCTTTAACCACTAGGCTACCCCACCCCCCTCCTCTCATCTAGAATGTTAGAGATAATGATTACTTCCTTGATATATCAAACCATAGTGAAATCAATTATTAATCACAGAAAGCAGTAAATGATAAGACAATACTTACAAGAGGGAACTGTGGTCCAAATTACAATCAACCAAACCACAATATTTCTACATTAATCTTTATTGTTTAATGAAGTTAGTAGCAGTGTTGGGAGTTGGTTGAAATCTCACAATTGATATTTGGTTCATTACCAATGAGCAATCATACTAAAAAAATCAGTTAGCGTAATTTTTCAGATCTTCCTATACAGGTTGTTATTGCAGATAAGTATAAGATGGGTCTCTGTTGTTTTTGTTTTTATTTAGAAACAGCGCAAATTGCATTTGCAAATTTCACATCCATTGTAAAATGATGCAACTTACTACACTAAAGTGATGACTAATATATCATGAACATAAACTTCCTGGAGTCTTCAAAAAATATTCAGTCATGACTTTTCAGTAAGTGAAGTGAGTTTTCTAAGATTTAAACATGTTTTCAGGCCCTGACAACTTCTAAGATCTGTTCCATCTGTTTCAAACACTAAAACAGTGGTTCCAAAATCATTTGTGTTCAATTATGAGAAAATGTGATCGATTGCTTGGTTGTTTGGTCACTGCGACCAGTCTTCGATTATTTCAATTAATCAGAACACCCCTAGTTAGTAGTGAATTACATTTACCACTACAGACACCTATGTTCCAGCAATATCACTACTGCCTGAAAATTGTCAAGTCTGGACCAGACAAACCAATTCCTGAAAGAATAGATCCAAACCACTGTGTGTATGGGTGAGCAAGGCTTTACATCAGCAATATCACAGCAGCAGACAACAGACATTGGCTTTAAACATTCTGCCCATGTAGGGAATCAAACCCAGATCTTCAGCAAGACAAGCAACCACTTTATCCACTAGGCTACCACATCATCGGGGCATGATCACATAGAAGTCAGCAAGTCAAACTATCCAATCCATTATGTTAACTGTTTATGACAAGCATAAGTGACCATGGTTACTTGGGATCAACTTTTCCCAGGAATCCCCACATGGAATTGCAGACGGACTACAAATATGTTAAGGCAGGGTCTGGTGGACTGTTGATATTGCCAAAAGTCAGACCTAATTTGGTATTAGTTTATTGAAACATTTATCAATAGTCATGTCTGGCAATCAGCAGACGACCAAACATCTCTGACAGACGGCACTGTTGGGCCAGTGAGTGTTTTCAGTTTGAGAAGGACAGCTTGTTTCAGTACCCACTGACCTACTGTCCTGTGTTGCCAGTGACCAATCTCCGACTTGAATGGTAGAGTTCAAGTCTACTGATTCACATACGGTGTGTATTTGTGTAGATGAACACATTATCTAAAAAGTATATAAACACTGAAGAATTCACTTATTTATTGATGACTGATAGAATTGAATATTCATAAATTTTCTAAAAAGGGTATTTTTCCTTGAGATTGAATGTTATTTATCAATACGAGATATGCAACATGGAATATATCCAGGAATTTAAGCCAGACAGAAAATAGCAAGGCTAATATCTAGTCTCTGAATCAACATATTTTACAGAAAAAAAACTGTTCATAAAAATAATCCTGAAACATAATGAAAAGGAACCCAGAGACTTTCCTTATTTTCAGAAACTATGGAAATCTAGACTTGCCACATAATCTAGACTTGCATGGGCTTTCTTGGATATATTTATTTCAGTGTCTGTATGACATACTAGAAAATAACCAACATTCATATATAATGTTAGGGGTGAAACAGTAAGC